AAAAGGCTCCTCACCAGGCTGGGTGTAGTGGATCACACCTGTAATCCCAACACTTTAGGAAGCACAGGTGGGTTGATCATCTGAGTTCAGGAGTTTGAAACTAGCCTGGCCAACGTGGCAGAAACCCCGTCTCCACTAAAAATACAAAATCTAGCCGAGCATGGTGGCGGGCGCCTGTAATCCCAGTTACTCAGGAGGCTGAAGTGGGAGAATCGCTTGAACCAGGGAGGTGGAGGTTGCACCGAGCCAAGATCATGCCACTGCACTCCAGCCTGGGTGACAGAGCAAGACTGTCTCAAAAAAAAAAAGGACTCCTCACTGACAGAAGTGACATTGATGCAACCACAGCAGCTACTCTGTCTGGGAGGACTCACACTATTTCCTGCCTGCCTCCCAATGCAAGACCCTTGCCAGAACCAGGGAAATTCCCTGGGAACTTCAGGCTGCAGAGGCTGGGAGCAGCTCCAGCGAATGACTTGAAAGGCACTGCTGTTCCCCTGGCAAAGAGGGCACCGGTGCTATGTGACTGCCTCTTTGGAGAGGAAGCAGGGGGGTGGGAAAGCCGGTGGGCATTAGGTACGCTTCTCCAACATCGACCCAAGGGATCTCAACCTCGGGGCTTTGGACCATCTGGGTAGGGCGCCTTGAGCCAGCTCTGTGCACTGTTCTGAGGTTTTTGGGGGCTCTAGGGGACACCCTTGTTTTTCAGCATAAGACAGTTCTAATCATGAATATTTACTGAGCACTTACCATGCGCCAGGCATTGTGTCAAGGACCTTCTGTGTATTTTCTTTCGATCCCCATGAAACCTCCATGAGGTGGGTACCATGAGTCCCACTTTCCCGATGAGGTGGCCTCCAGAGGTAAGCTGTCTTGGCCAAGGTCACGTGGCCAGGGGGTGGGCAGCGCTGAAGTGCTCAGCCACCACAATGGCATGCAGAGATGACCGTGGGGTCATCTGGTTCGGCATCTTCAGCCCTGGCTGCATTTTATTATTTTTTAAAAATATCATCTTTTAGAGACAGGGTCTCACTCTGTCACAAAGGGTGGAGTGCAGTGGCACCATCATAGTTCACTGTGGCCTCCAGCTCCTGGGCTCAGGCTATCCTCCCACCTCAGCGTCCTGCATAGCTGGGACTACAGGTGTGCACCACAATGCCTTGCTGGGTCACACTTTAGAATCACCTGGGAGCTTTTAAAATCTATCTTTTAAAAAAGATACCGCTGAGACAGATTAACTCAGAATATCTGAGTTAAAGTGGGGCCAGGAATTTGTGGGTCTTTTAGAAGGTCCCAGGTGGCTCCAAGGTACAGCTGAGAGGATCACTGCAGTAGGCAATGAGAATGGGTGACAGCTGCATGCACCAATTGTCTACAAGGCAGCCAGGAGCATGACACCAGGCCCATAGGGTGGCCACAGTGGTGGCAGGGTTGAACGACTGCTCTGACCAAGGTGCACAGGTGGCTGCTTCACTGGAGCAAGAGCACTGAGTTGGCCCCCGCCCCAGGAGTGACATCCTGTCCCCAGGGAATGAGAGAGGGTCTCAGCCTCTGTCCTCTGCACCCATTCCACAGCTGCCACGGGCATCTATGGAAGCCTGGGGAGGCTCCCAGGCCCTCCTCCTACAGGCTGGAGCCTGGCTGTCAGCTGGCGCCATCACTGAGGGCACAGCAGCCTCTGGGTTGGTTGCTCTTTCAAATCGCGTGGGGAGGAAAACATGCGGGAATGGGACCCACCCCGGGGAAGTACATCCGAATCCAGAAAAACGAGCCTGAGCACAGAAGGCTGAAAATTTGTGGTGAGGCTGCACGCAGAGCCGCGCCCAGCAGACACATGCTGGGGCTGAGAGCAGGCTCTGGACACAGATGCTGAAGAGCTGTGTGGCCTTGGAGAAGTGGCTCGATCTCTCTGAGCGTTGGTTTCCTGGTCTGTAAAACGGGGATGAGACTAGCAGTGACAGTGAGGTTGGGGTAGAGATGAGAAGGGGTGATGCATGGGCACGCCTAGCCCACCGTGTGCGCTCAGTATTAACACTACTGCTTTAAGTGTTGCGTTTTGAAGGGAAGAGGCAGGGAACAGCCATCAGTGATGCTGGGGCCATTTCTTCAAGTTAAGCTGGGGCAGGCGCCCTCCCTTCACTCTCACGTTCCTAGCAGTGACCCTAGGCACTGCCCAAGCCTTGCGTCGGGGTAGAGCTCTGCCCCTGCTCCTCACCCTCCCCAGGAAGACAACAGCAGGGAAGGGCGCCAGCTGCCCCCTAGTGGCCAAGGGCAGACGCGCACCGAGTCGCTCTAACCACATCCTGAAATCCCTGCGGCGACCCCCACCTTTTTACTCGGCCTCTTTGCAGATCCGTGGCTCCCAAAGATTCTGGCTGACAAAGCGCCAACTACAAGGGTTTCCTGATGGATGCTAGCATTTTGGAAAGCACCAAGCTGACTGCAATATAAAGTTCAAATAGGGCTGGTGGGGGTTTAGGGAGCGGAGTGCCAGTCACCCGGGCTATGCACACGTGACTCTGTTTTCTCTAACTGGCCAGTTAATTTCAGAAAGGAAGGAGTGCCCAGGAGCGAGGCGAGTTCTGCTTTCTTGTCTTACACAGGTCTGTGCACTTGCGGGTGCTTGTGATTCTGGAGCTAGGAAGCTCAACTTCTCCCTCTGAGAAGCAGCCTGGCATTGTGCCAATGGACTGAGAGCCTCGTCCTGGCAGACATGTCCCGGTCCCTGTCCAGCAAGAGCAACCTGGGAAAAGCCACCTCATCCCCAAGACACACAACAAAGTGACCCCAAACCCTTATTTCCCTCCATTGCTGAAGAGCTCCATGAAGGAAACAGCTGGAGAGGGGACAGGGACAGAGGAGGAAGGTGCTGGTGGCCTGGAACCTCCCAGTCTGCTGTTGACACAAAATCTTTTTATTTTCCCTTTGCCATCTTTTTTGCAAACCTCTCAGGTACAGATTGGAAGAAAATGCACATTGACCCTGCCTTATTTAACCAGGCTACTGCCTGCTGGACAGCCCCTGGGGGAGCCCCGCCCCACCCCACCCTGCCCCACTGGGTAGAAGGGAAGGCCACACCAAGTGCTGAATGAGCCAGCCACACAGCAGGTGCTCTGGGAGGGAGGGACAAGAGGTAAGGGAAGGCTTCCTGGAGAAGGAGGGAGGGACCTGGCCCTGAGAGACAGGGCAGTTCCTGTAGAGGGAGAGAGAAGGCACTGGCTTCATTGCTTTGGGAACCGGGCCCCAGCATCAGAGCATCTGACCCAGGTGGCCAGCAAGATCGCAGGCCAAGGCAGGGGCCCGAAGCAGATGCGACTGTGGGAGCTTGGGGAAGCAGCCCCTCTCGTCTCAGGTTTGGAGCTTCAGAGGATCCTCCTGGGCCCCTGCTTGGCTGGCTCCAGAGGATGCAGAGCACAGACCATGCCTCCCTAGGTCCCACCGCTGGCCTGTGGAGCTCCGCATGAAAGGCATCGAGACTGGCTGGGGCCTCTCCGGTAGTGTCAGGAGCTGGGTGTCTACTGGCCAGCACAGGGGCGAGCTGCAGCCCGCAGAATACTCCAGAAGGGAGCCTCTGGGTGGGACTGCAGTGTTGTGGCTCCTCTCAGAGGCCATCCAGGGCCTGCCGGACTCGGCTTTCCAGAGAGGTGGCTGAATGGACGGAGACACCTGGGGCACCAACACTGGTTTCCCAGCAGTCAAACCCACAGCTGGTCAGGGCCTGCTTCGTGGCCTCCACCTCTGGCTGCTCCAACCCTGTGGGAAGGGAAGGCAGGTCACCCTTGACAACTCTGCTCCCTCGGGAGCTCTGGTATTCAAGGTAAAGGCCCGGGTCTTCCTGCTGTGCCTTCCTGGCTGTGACCCCACCTGAGCCAACAGGCCCATGAGGCCCAGAGGCTACCTACAGCCCCTCAGTGCACTGAAATGCCCAGCCTCGCACCCCCCAGGGGTTTGGGGAGCAAGACTTAAAAACATGGGCTGTAAAGGCACAAGGACTAGGCCTTGCCTTGCGCTGGTTGTGTGACCTCAGACAAGTGACATCTCCTCTGTCAGTCTCAGTCTCCTCATCTGGGAATGCAGCTAATGATGCCAACCCCTGCAGACCCCAGGGAGGCTTAAAGGAAATAATGCAGGTTAAGTCCCTGGCACAACACCTGGTTCAGCAGGCACACTCCAGAAATGTCAAGTCCCACCATCATCATGGGTGCTGAACTAGGAACCAACAGTGGGGGTCTGCTGGAGTGAGGATGTGGCCGTCTCCTGAGGCCTTTAGCCACCACTGGGGGGAGGGGGTGGCTGGAGGCCAAGGGGGCTCAGTGCAAAGCAGAGGGGAAAGGAAGGATGAAGAACAGAGATGAGGAGATAAAGACGGGAAGGGAAAGAAAAAGAGCAGTAAGGGACAAGGAACAGAGGGAAACATAGAGGCAGGTGGGAACATTTAGTGCCTGCTGCAGGCCAGGAGTGAGCCTGAGGACAGCGGTAGGTGTCAGGTGGTTAGACACCAGTGGAAGCCCCTTGCCAGGGGCTGGGCACCGCTCGCGGCTTCCTAAGCCAAGCCCATTACTTGGTCTTGCTCTTTCCCCAGATTAACGGGAAGGAAACCCCTTTGTTTTGTAGCAAGATCAACCCCATCCTAACCATGTCAAGGGGTGTAAGTAGGGCAGCGTGAGGCAGACATGGAGAGTGCCAATGCCCTGGTTACTCCCCAAGCTTGTGGGGACGACCCTGATGACAGGAGCCCCGGCCACAGCCCAGCCCTGCACCAGGCTCTCTAGGTACACTTTCCTCCTTCAATCTGGGCAATGATCTTGCAAGCTAGAGACTCTCATCCTTATTTTACCAATGAGGAAACGAAGACACAGAGAGGTTAATTAACTTGCTAAGGCCACACAGCAGAGCTGACATCTGTTTCTAGGCCTCTTTTTCCTTTCAAGGGAATTCTCCAGGTGGACCCCTTTTTCGAGCCCAGGCTGGCAGCCTGGCCCACCCAGCCCCCGGTATACCTGGCTTGAGGAGTGTGATGCCACAGCCACCGCCACCTGCACCAGTCAGCTTGCTGTGCAGTCCGTGGGCCCTGGTCACCTGGCAGAGCTGGTCCAGAGAGGCGTGGCCCACGCCGAGGGCATTCAGATGGTGCTGGTTCATGTCAATGAGCTCCTAGGGGAGAAGGTTCCAATGTTCCCACTTGGCCTGCCTGAGGCCAAGCTCCCATGCCCACCTCTGTGCCTGCCTTGTCCATCTGACAGTTGTTGGCTGGGGACAACTAATGGCTTTGCCTAGTGGGTATGCGGGCCCTCTACACTCGTAAAAGAATCCTCCCCTGCAGCGTTTCTCACGGAGCTTGGGTAGAGCTGAGCATAACCTTCACCATAGCAGTGAGCACATATCCTGGGGCTGGTCACAGAAGCCTCTGGCACTGGTGACTGATCAGGGATGGGCATGTGGGCCATGCTGGGCCAATCACGGCCCTCCCAGGGTTTCCTCTGCCCCTTTCCACTACAGCTGCTAAAATCATTAACTTCAGATACAAGCCGCCAGGATGATCTGTCTTGCCACATGGTCAGATATTCCGTGGAAGATGGACAGATTCCTGACCATATTATTTCAGCCCCTATATCAAGCTATACCTGAAGCCATCTACCTCTGGTATTCTCGGTCAATATTGGCTACTCAGCCAATATATTCCTTTTCTCCAAAAGCCTGGTTGAAATGGATTTCTGTCATTTTCAAGAGAAAGTCTCCATATGCCTCCCTACAGTTGCCTTGGAGTCTGGTTTTAGAGTAAGAACTAGCTTTAACTCCAGCAAGGCCATAAGTGGGGAAACAGCGGTTTGTGTAGGTTTCTTCAATTATGCAGGATAAACTTCCTACTCTGCAAGAATCCAACAAGATGCATGTGGATGAAAAAATAAAACTCACAGCTTCTCCTACCCAGGCACCCAGTATCTAGATTCCGTTTACCAAACGCCCACAATGTGCTGGGGCTCTAAGGATGGTTCCAGCCATCACGAAGTAAAAACCATGGGGTTTGGAGTTAAGGAGGCCTGTGTTCGAGTCTCGGCTCTGCCCCTTCTGGGTCTTGTGTCCTTGGACGAGGTCTTCTGCACTGGGTCTGTCTCCTGCTTATAAATTGGGGTCATAGGAGTACCTGCCTCAGCAGGGTGCGGTGGCTCACACCTATAATCCCAGCACTTTAGGAGGCCGAGGTGGGTGGATCACTTGGGTCAGAAGTTCAAGATTAGCCTGGCCAACATGGCAAAACACTATCTCTACTAAACGTACAAAAATTAGCCAGGTATGCTGGCGCGCACTGGTAATCCTGGCTAAGGAGGCTGAGACACGAGAATCATTTGAACCTGGGAGGTGGAGGATGTGATGAGCTAAGGTCGCGCCACTGCACTCCAGCCTGGGTGACAGAGCAACACGACTCTGTCTCAAAAAAAAAAAGGAAAACAAAATAGTATTTGCTTTCTTGCCCTGAGGATGAAACAAGGTGAGTTTTCTGTTCAATGCCTGGCTATTAGAGGCACGTGCTATTAGCATTTTCACAGGTCTGTTACCCTCATCCCCACTTTACAAAGCGGGTAACAGAGGCTCAGAGAAGTGACTTGCCTAAGATCACTGAGATTGTAAGGCACCAAGCTGGCACTGGAAGCTGGGTCTGCCTGACATGAAGCTCTGCCCACCCTGCCTCTGAGAGCACCCCTGGCATCCCACACTTCTGTGTGAAGCTCTGCTCTGGGGCACCTGGATTGCCTGGACACCAGGAGCTGCCAATCACTGAGGCATCTCTGCGGATGCCTGGGGATGGCCGGTCAGGCAGGGTTGGGGAGGCCCTCCCAAGCCTGCCTCAAACCACACCCCCTGCCAAGCCCGTCGCTTTTGACAAATGAGCAGACAGGCATGATGGCTCGGTGGCAGCCCTGGGTGCCTTTCGCCAGCCCAACGGGCTGGATGTAAGAGAAGACTTCTGGGGGCCGCTCTCTGCGCCTGAGCACCAGGTGTCACGTTGCCGAGGCAGGTTCCAGACACCTGTCACGTTCTGATCCAAAATCTGTCAAGGATCAGATGACAGGTTGTGACACGGGAGAACAGTTCGCTGGTTTGAGTGCAAAGCTGTCCAGGAGCCATGCTGCACATTTCAGCGGCTGCCACAGCCAAAAATACACACAATGTATAATCAACATGCTGTTCGCTAGTTTTCTCCAGGGGCTCGACAGGGTGTATTTTAGGCAGTATTCTATCATTATTAATTTCCCACTCACGGGGACTGCATTCCCTCCTTTCTACATGGAGGGAATGGAGAGCCAGGAAGACAAAGACTAAGGGAATGAGGGCAGAAACACAGGAAATTGACGGCGGCTCTGCCCTGGCACATAGTAGGTGATCATGACAGATCTGTTGAGTAAAGGGACAGACTAGTCTGTCGGCTGGAGCCCTGGCTCGGCCACTCACTAGCTGGATAACCTTGGAGGAAGTCCCTCTTCAGGCCTCAGTTTTTACATCTGTGAAACAGGGATAAGACACCTACTTCGCAGTGAGGTTTGTAAGGATCAGGTGAAAAACTCATTTGTAAAAGGCTTGGTTTAGAGACAGCTTCCACTCAGCACAGGGGCTACAAACTCGAATGCCCACAAAGGGACTGGAAGGCACCAGGCAATGACTACAGAGGCAGGGACTGTGGTGACAGGGAGACCACACACCCCTCTCAAGGGGTTCTCATCCTGTCCCTTCACTCATGGCTGCTGCAGAGCCGGCTACAGCAGCTAGGGGCCGCCCGATCCTCTACTCTGCAAGGCAGCCAGATGGCTAACGTCAGTCCATATTCACCAGGCCAGATGGACCGTGTCCAGGGGGAGGCTGGGCCCTTGGGTTCCCTGAGCTAACCAGACATTGTGCTTATGTGTCACCCATGAGACTCCAAGCAGTCTTTTGTTTTTTGTGAAACAAGGTCTTACTCTGTCACCCAGGCTACAGACTCGACCTCCTGGGCTCAAGTGATCCTCCTGCCTCAGCCTCTCAAGTAGCTGAGACTACTGGCATGCACCACCACGTCTGGCTAACTTTTGTATTTTTTGTAGAGACAACGTTTCACCATGTTGCCCAGCCTGGTCTCAAACTTCTAGGCTCAAGCAATCCACCTGCCTTGGCCTCCCAAAGTGCTAACACTACAGGTGAGCCACTGCACCTGTCTAATCTGTGTTCTTAAGACACTCCAGTGAGGCCACACGGCCAGCAGAAGTGGAGCTGGGATTCACACACAGGCCTGATCACACTCCAAGTACAAGGTCATAACCTCTATGCTAGAATTGTGCAAATGGTGGTAGATGGGGTTACGACGATGAAAAAATCAGTTAGGGCCCATCTGACCCGAAGCAGGCAGTTGGTAAGTAGGTGCTGAATGCACCCATGTAGTTGGCAACAGCAGGAGAGAGCAAGGAGGAAGTCACCCCTGCACCAGCAGAGTGCTGTTGGCCATACCCCGTCCACCTAGGTGGGCCGGCGCTCCCTAGACATGACCCCAAACCCGGTCCACTGCACTTAGCATAAGCCAGGTCCTGACCTCCTTCCCTGTACTCTCCCAATTACTCATAATCACCTGGGAAGAGGCCTGAAAATAAGATACACCTGTGTGGCCACAGAGACCTGGGCCTAGGCCGGGGGCTTCTGAGAGCACAGGCCAGAGGCAGGACCTGGCCTGTGTGCTGGTTCCCAGGGGATTCTGAGCACTGCCAGATTGCAGAGGCACTGCCTCGGACAGCGGTGGACTGAGCAACCCCGGTTCCTGCGGACAGGCTCTTACTTCCAGCACGTGGTATTGCTCCAGGGCTGGGGCCTCCCCCATCTCTCCCAGCACGCGCTCACACTCCAAGGAGATGGCGTCTATCGAGGTCAGGAGTGGGGCCACGATCTCTGGGAACTGGATAAGAAAAGGAGGAACGGCTGGTGAGGCTGGGGGCAGGCAGATGCAGCACAGCTGCCCCTGCAGTGGGTGGAGGTGTTCCCAGAGCCCTCACCCATCTTCTGAGGAAACCGCCCCTCCTTCTGGGCCTGGCTTTTGCCTTCCCAGCTGCAAAGTCAGGGTGCCTAACGAGCCAGACCACTGTCGTTTTCAGAATCCCCGTCCTGCCTCCCGGCCAGGCTATGCACATTGGCAATACCTTCTTTTCTGCCAAAACCACCTCCCCAAGGGCCACCACTGCCCACCACACCCCCATAACCCAGCAGCCAGAGGGAGACCTCGAAAATCCAAATGTAATTGTGTCCGGGCCTTCCTAAAACCTGCCCAGGAAGGGAACAGGAGTCACCTTGAGCAGCCTGTTTCTGACGCCAGCCACGAGGGCCTTGGTACTGCGAGGGACTCTGGTGTTGGTCAGCAGGATCTGGAGAGCCGGCGGCCTGCAGGGTGAAGAGGAGGCAGGGCCACACTGAACTCAAGACGAGGGAGCTGGGTCAGGACTGTGGGCAGTCCAGGAAGCCGCCCCACCCTGATACGGAGGAAGAAGGGAGGCACGGGAGGTGACATTGGATGGGGCTCCCACTGCTGGCCGCAGCTGCACCTCCAACCCAGCCCCCTGGGCGGGTTGCCATTCACCCTTGGCTTTTCACTCATTTATTCATTCAACTTTAACTGCGACCTACAACACGATAGGCACAGCTTGGTCTTGGGACTGGGTCCAGGGAGGGGAGGCGGGAGGTCCAGGAAGGGTTTCCTGGCATGACGTAGACACTGAGAACTGAGGAAGGGTAAGAAGCTACCAGGGTAAGAGCTAGAAGGGTGAGGATTTCTGGCAGGTGGAGCAGCCTGTGTGCTCCTGGAGGTGGGGAAACCCGGCACAGTCATCCAGTGAGAAATTCAAAGTGGCTGTTAGTGCAAGGAGGCACCAGGGTTCACTTGTGTGGGTCCCCCCCACCAAGCTGGAGTCCAGGCAACAGGCCCTGAAATGGATCACACACAGGGAAGATGCCCAGGCTGGCTGGTGTGGGCAGCGCCATGCACGGGCTCAGTAAACCCAGGGGAGGGTGAGGTTACAGAGGACAGTCCCCAGCACACTGAGCTCATTCTTGCCGTACCTCAGTGGTGCCCAGACCAGTGGCCCTGGTCTAAAACCAGGTGTCGTTACAGAATCAGTCATCCCCTCGGCTGCCCCCTGGCACACAGATGTGTCCCAGGCAGCCACGGTGAGCTTATTCTCCAGCGTGACCCCATTGTCCTCACCTGCCCCTGAAAAGCTGCGTAAATCCCTCCTAAAGCCACAATCCCAATTGTCCTTGTAGTGAGCCGTCTTTGAGGGCTCAAGCCAACATTTCTTGCCATCCACCCTGCCTTGCAGAGGGCTGCAGGCCGGGATGGAGGGTGGTGGATTTGGATGCCCTCTGGCCCGAGACAGCTGGAGACAGGCAGAGCCCCTGACACCTTTATTCGCTCTCTTCACAGTTCAAGACTGTAAAATCCAATAGGGCTGGAAAGGGCTGCCAGAAACCTGCTTTATCTCACTGCCCATAAGCCCATGAAATTAGTATCGATTCTCAGCCTTGGAGGCTGGCTTTTTTTTTTCAACTTTATAAAAGATGAACATTCTATTTGGCTTTTCTCTTCCCTTCCAAGACAAGCCATTGCTCAAAAGGGCAGTGTTCTGGGAGGCCGCATCTTGATCCACTTCACAAACAATGCATTTTTTCTTTACAGAGAGGCACCGTGCATGGTTGGGGGGCGGGGAAGCTCCTTAAGCCATCCGTGGGATTAACATGGAGTCTGGCCCCCAGCTCCTCCGAGAAGCCGCCATCTGCTCCCGTGGTACCCCACAGCAGGCAGCAAAGGTTCGTTTGCTTCATGCTCCCATCCAGCTGGGCGAGAAGAGTTTGGGTGTCCCATCTTCATCTTTCTTAGAAAGTCCTCTGCAGACAGGCCCCGCCAGCCCTGGGCTCATACGCCATCCAGCGGGCACCACTCGGGGAAGCCGGGAAAGCGCTTGAGTGATGTGGGCTTGGCCACTGCCCCAGCTTCTTCTCTTCTCCTCCCTCCCGAGGGTGCTCCCTCCGCTCAGCCACCCTGACCTCCCAGCTGCTGCATGATATGCCAGGTGGCATGCTCCTGCCTCAGGACCTTTGCACCTCACTTCCTCTGCTAGGGACCAGCCCCACCCCACAGCGGCGTGACTCATTCAGTTTTCTGCGCAATGTTCCTTCCGCAGCAGCCCGCCTTCCCCCATCTAACTGGCCCCCTCCTTCCCTTTCTAGCCTCTGACCCTGCTTGTGTCCAGGAGTGCCCAAGAGTACCTGACATGTTCTCACAGAGCAACTGCTTTTTTGTCCCCTCCCATCAAAGTATGAGTTCCATGGAAGCGGGGCTTTGTTTTGCTCCCTGTGGAGGCCCTGGTGCTCAGCACGTAGTAGGTGCTCAGTGACACTTGTGGAAAGGATGGGTGAACTCAGCCAGCAAAGAGCTAAGCACTTCAGAGCGCCGCTTCTGCTTTTGTCTTCAGGATCCCCTTACATAGACGAGATGGAGGTCTGGGGGAAGTGACTCACCTGAGGGCGCCAGCTGGCAAGCAGGAGAGCTGGACTCAAACCTAGGCCTGCAGACCCAGCGCCTCCACCCGGCACAGCAGCAATGCCCGGCCGTTCCCTGCTCCCCACCCCCACTTGGAAAGCCTCCTCTTTCCTTTCCTGATGCCCCCAGTAGACCGTGTACTCAGTGTCCGGTCACGTCTTCATCAGTTTTCTAGCTCCAAGGCCGAGTCCAATGCTTCAGCCACGAGTGGCTCTCAGGAGACACTGAAGGAATGAAATGCCACCACTTCCATGAATGATTCCTCAGTGAGATCTAGGATGCCCATCGCTGTCACCTCTTCTTCTCTGATGATTAGAATGACCGCCTTCCCCAACAGACCATGGGCTCCTGAGGACAGGTCAGGACCCAGCCATCTGAGAATCCTCCACGCAATCCGGCTCTGGTTCCATGTGGATCCAGGGCAGCTGACAGACCAGCTTCCACCTGGGCCCTTGGGCCTCCAGGATCTCCTGGTGACAACTGCTGGAGCAGCCCGGGGAAGCTGTTTTACGCTCCTACTGGCTTCTGTGGCATGCAGAGGTTGGTGGCAAGGGTGATTTTGCCATTCAGGAGACACTAAGCAATGCCTGAAGACGTTTCTGATTGTCGCACTGAGGGTGCTACTGGCATCTGGTGGGTAGGGGCTGGGGATGAATGCACAGGGTGGCCCCACCACAAAGAATGACCCAACCCCAAACAGCAATAGTGCCAATGCTGACAACCCTGATGTACAGCCTTGGAAAGGGAGGTGTGGCTGAGCTGGAAGATCCCAGGGGCCCAGGTGTGGCACGGTGACAGGCCAGGGTATTGAGCCACAAATGGAGTGGTCCAGCTGGTGAGGCTGCAGGCCAGGACCTGCCACTCATCCATGAAGACTGCCCTGGGTAAAGAAGAGAGAGCCCCAGGACCCTTACAGATACGAAAAGGCCCATGGTGGTAGCAAAGTGCCCTGGGACAAACACCACCCCACAACTTGATAGAGGGCTTAGGAACAGCCAAAACGGCACCTGGCTCCCCTCTGCCACATGTTTCATTCCTGACACCCAACAATGCTACCGTGGGTGGAAACAGAGGATGCTGAAATCTCACATGCACATTTGTGATTCCAATGACTCTGGTGGGAGGGACAGAAACATAAAACAGGCTGAGTGTCTCCAAATGTCACTTCTGCTCTGAGCCCCTCACAAGCCTCCCTTGGGCTTCCGTCCTGCCTCTGCCCTGCATGCCTCCATCATGGTGACTCTCACGTTGCCTGTGGCACTGTTGTATGCATCTGTCCCCACTCCCCAAGCAGACGGAGAGCCCTTGGACACAGTACCCAAGCTTTACCTTTCCAGTCCCACGCCCAGTGCAGCTGCATCGGGAACACAGGGAGCAATGGGTTCTTGTTTACTAAGCAAATACAAGAGTGAAGGAATAAGGAGCCGAGGGTCCACAGGCGCAGCCTTGCGTGACTTTCCCTTTCTGATCTCCCTGCAGTTTAAGAGCCGAAGGGGAGAATGAGAGACCGGCTGCCAGGGCTTCCCTGCCAGCCCTACTTCCCTGCAGCTGCGGGCTGTGAGGGCCACATCGGGGGACAGCCAGCCAGGGACACCTGCCTTCTATGGTCCTTCCCAAATGGGCAGAGCTCTGCACCCTGGACACCTGGATGCAGCCACCGTTGAATGTGTGGCTCCACCCCCAAGTTACCTCTTTAAGGATGCAATCTTCCCTTGTTGGTATCGGAGGGCTCCTCCTAAAGAGAAAAACCAGCGGGTCAGAGCCGTGGGAAAAGCTAACACATTTGGCTGAACTTCGGGTTGGGTTTGTTTTGCCCCTTCCAGGAAAGAGGCTAAGTAATGAGTCAGCCCATTACAGAAGGTGCAGGAGGGCAAAAGTCCCCCGAAGCCCCGCCAGGAAGCTCTCACCAGGCCTTGGGTTCCTGAGTCCCCTCCCTACAGGCTGCCCAGCATCCCCCAACAGGCCACATGGTGAAGCAGGGCCCAGGACTCGGCATCTGGGAGGCCACCTGTGTGGTCTGCAAACTCCACAGCAGCGGCTCTGCAGCCTGAGCCTGCAACTCCCTTGGGGAGCTTGCGGAAGCTGCGGCTTCCCAGGCCCCAGTCCCAACCCCAGAGATTCTGATTTACGGGGTACGAGGCAGGGCCCCAAGATTTCTCTCCATTCCCCCCCCAAATAGGAAAATGTTATTTTCCTGGAATCCATGGATTCTTTTCCTACCAAACCGGCATAGATACCTGGGCACCTACAATTGTAATAAGAATTTTAAAAATAACAAAAATAAACTGAAGGCAGCACCTACCCCAGGTGCTGACAGCATTGTCCACTCCGGAGGGGTTCCCGTGAATCACTCTCTCCCCCTGGAAGGCCCACTTGTTAATGAGCTCCAAATCCTCCTTGGTCCACCTGAAGACACAGATGTTCGTCTTTACTGTGGCAGTGAGGAGTAGGGTTGGGGAGGGCCACAGGACACAGCCAAGGGCAGGGGCTGAAGGCCGTGCTAGGGGAGGCCAAGGGGCATAGGAGCGTGTGCCCTTGAGCACAGAAAGAACAAGTCCAGGCTGAACTTCTCTAGCTACGGAGTGTGCTGAACCTGCCCTTCCCTCTGAGGCCCACCAGGCGCAGTCAAAAGAGCCCAGGCTTTGGACTCTCGTGGTCCTACTTTGCCTCTTTTTTTTTTGATATGGAGTCTCACTCTGTCGCCCAGGCTGGAATACAGTGGCGCAATCTCGGCTCACTGCAACCTCTGCCTTCCAGGTTCAAGTGATTCTCCTGCCTCAGCCTCCCCAGTAGCTGGGATTACAGGTGTGCACCACCACACCTGGCTAATTTTTGTATTTTTTAGTAGAGATGGGGTTTCACCATATTGGACAGGCTGGTCTTGAACTCCTGACCTCACGATCTGCCCGCCTCGGCCTCCCAAAGTGCTGGGATTTACAGGCGTGAGCCACTATGCCTGGCCCCTTCTTTGTATCTTACTAGCTGAGTGACTCTGGGCCCATTATCTAACCTCTCTGAGCCTCACTCTCCTCCCTGGAGTATGGGAACCCCACCCTCCTCAGAGGCTAGCTGCATGTGTCTAATGATGGCAAGGTGTCCACAAGCAGCGGGCGGGAACTGCCACTATAACAGACCTCTGCATAAGCGCCCACGCCTGAAGCAAGCCTGCCTTTAAGAGCCAGCAGAGGTGTGACTGTTTCCCAGGGCTCTGCAAATAGATCCAAATCACCATCATTATGAATTTGAACCCCAGGAGCCCCAGATACCCCTGGGGGAGCCAGGCTGATCCCAGCCACGTCTGGATCTCCCCCCAAGCACATGGCCTCGCAGCCTTCCACAGACCAGGTGTGGGCTCACAGTTTAAGTGAACAGACCCAAAACACGAGTATGAAACAAGGCAAAATGATCGGCCCCACTTCCCCACTCTTTTCTCTCTGCTTTTGTTTCCTTTCTGCAGATTCCCTTCCTTGTGAAACAGCAGAAGCTAAAGGTGTTTCTGTGACCTCTGAGAATGACATGGCTCAGTGGCAGAGCTATGGAGTAAGCAGTGAGCCTGGTTTTGTTTTTTCTTTTCTTTTTTTTTTTTTTGAGATGGAATCTTGCTCTGCCACCCAGGCTAGAGTGCAGTGGTGCAATCTCGGCTCACTGCAACCTCCGCCTCCTGGGTTCAAGCGATTCTCTTGCCTCAGCCTCCCAAGTAGCTGGGATTATAGGCACCCACTACCACGCCTGGCTAATTTTTGTATTTTTAGTAGAAACGGGTTTCACTATGTTGGCCAGGCTGGTCTCGAACTCTTGACCTGAAGTGATCTGCCCACCTCAGCCTCCCAAAGTGATGAGATTATAGGTGTGAGCCACTGTGCCCGGCTAGTGAACCTGTTTTGAAGCCCATCCCACCACTGACTCACTGGGAATCTATGAGCAACCTCTTCACCTCGGACCCTCAGTTTTCTTATCCATAAAAAAGGGATAATAGGCCGGGTGCTGTGGCTCACACCTGTAATCCCAGCACTTTGGGAGGCCAAGGCAGGCGGATCACGAGGTCAGGAGTTCAAGACCAGGCTGGCCAACATGGTGAAACCCTGTCTGTAGTAAAAAATACAAAAATTAGCTGGGCATGGTGGCTCATGCCTGTAATCCAAGCTACTTGGGAGGCTGAAGTAGGAGAATTGCTTGAACCGGGACCCAGGAGGCAGAGGTCGCAGTGAGCTGAGATCGTGCCACTGCACTCCAGCCTGGGCTACAGAGACTCCATCTTAAAAAAAAAACAAACAGGGATAATAGTGTCTATCTCACTGAGGATACTGAGATGGAAAAAACACACAAGCACTTTGTATCATGACCAGGAGACAGGATGTGCTCCCCCCAAAACAGGGCGTCTGGGGTCACAGTGCCTGGGTGCCTGATTCAATCACTTACTTGCTGTGGAGCCCTGAGCAAGTCCATTACCTCCTGAGTCTCTTTCCTCATCTGTCAAATAAGGATT